CGACTCATAATTACTCATTTTCTGTTATTGTAATGACTCAGTTGCTAAAACTGGCCACGTTTTAATTAAATTCTAACCAAGTAGCCATTCATTTTGACTTTGATATGATCAATGACACAAAATCTTGACAAGTAAGTTTTTATGATAACATTCGTATTTTATTAAGATAATGAATATACTATTTATTAACTTCTTATCATGCCAACAGCGTAGTTGTATTATATATGTCCAAACCAAGTTCACTTTTAACGGTTTGAAAAAATTTGGGCATTAGGTATATGATATTCATTATAATAAAGGTTTTTGTATTTCCCAATGAATGAAAAACAAAACGACATTGTTTTTACTGACGTTTCGCTATTTAATGCTAATAGCTTTCTCAAAGTATTATTAAACCAGAATTTACAAAATCTCAGCATATATATAACAAAGAGTTAAGGGGTGAGAAAATAGACTTAGGTCAAGTTAAAAGGACATAGTGAAAGTTAAAAGTACAATGAAGATCACCAAACCAAATATTAAAGTCTATTTTCTCACCCTTTAACTCTGTTATATATATGCTGAGATTTTGTAAATTCTGGTTTAATAATACTTTGATTAAGCTACTAGCATTAAATAGCGAAACGTCAGTAAAAACAATGTCGTTTTGTTTTTCATTCATTGGGAAATACAAAAACCTTTATTATAGCGAAGTTGTATGTCTTAATTAAAATCCAAGTTGGTTAAGACCACTTAAAAGAAAAAAAGTGCATACAGATTAGTTAATGACAAAACTGTTCGTCATGAATGAAAAGCAATGGTTGAATAGTTCAACAACATTTTGTAGCTCAGTTGTTTCAATGAAACTACAATTCATGTTTAGTATAACTTTTAGATTTTGTGTTGTTAAAAATTAAATTGAAGAGAGGTTCTGATTTTTTTTCCATTGCCTGTACTTTGTCAGTGTTATCTTCTTTCATCATCATAGGCTTAACTATTACTCATTTCAGTGTGTTGTAAATTTAGAAAAATACTTTGTATATACAGTCTTCTATATAGTTCTCATTTCTCACTATTTTCTTAATAATATAGGTCAGTCTTGATTCGCATATCTCCTTTGAAACTAATTTCCTTGGTGAATTCCACCATGAGTGTCTCGTGCTGTTTGGGAATCTCCAATTGGATATGCCTGCATCCCAGCGTTTTCACTGAAACTCGAACCTATTCCCCATCACTTCAAACGTTAAAGCATTATCCTCTAGGTTTCTGAAGTGATACTACCTGCAACCCCTTTGTTAATCGAATGCATCAACCTTACTTTTGCCTTTGTGCTGCTTGAAAGGGCGCTTTGTAACGTCAAGATGAAAATAGTGGTACTTTTTCGGCATCCTTCAAAAAAGCCCGTTTGCTAAGATGAGTCTGATCAGTTCACTTCGCAAATATCAGTGTTGAGTTACAACTATAGTTAACTTTAGCTGTTTTAACCTGACAAAACGCTTGATCTTTTCCGTATACCTTGAAGTAAGTGAATGCCATTTTTACATGATTTAGGTAGTATTTTGTTATACTTTGACATAGGTGGTAAGAAGAGCACTATAGGGATATTTTTGATTATGAACTCAAATCAATCAGTTCTCGAATACAAAGTTATGTCCCATATGTGAAAATGTTACCTTACCAGATGGCTACCAATGTTACACAGTCCAATACCGGTTATACCTTTCGTCAATATACGACGTGAATTACTTTTTTAATAGTAAGAAATATTGTTCAAGATTAATGTTGTTACATTCTTAGGTTCCAAGTGGAACGTAGGGTTTCAACAACACATCTCATTTTTTCGTGTTTTCTGAAGTTGTCTTTCAATGATCTCATAATTTTTCGTAGCTATCATCAACTTCTTACACGATCTCCTCCATGTTACACTCGGACGCCGAACTCGTAGATTTTCATTTAGGTCCTACCGGAGAACCTGCCTGGAGTGTTAAGTCACTCAGCTGTCTCCTCAGCATGTGTCGAACCCATCTCCATTTTCTTCGACATAAGTGTTAAAAATGGTACTTTAAACCTGTATTACAGTGTCCAACTTGTAGTGGTAGATGCAGCTAGCTGGTATGAGCAGTTGGAAAGCAGTAAACTTTAATCAAAGTATTATAAACAATGAGCAGCAGTTTCTCTCGTTTGAGCTAAATGACTTGTTTCAGTATGAAATTTATTTTAATTGATAGTTAACACCCACTTTGTCAAAAGATACTTTGTACAAATTTGAAAATACTAAAAATGACGTCTTTTGTGTCATATTTAACAACTCTTAGATGCTCATTCCTGATGAATGAAAGTAAATACTAATCGAGGACTGTACAGCTTGTAACTAACTGATTTCTGTCATTCAGCGTCAAAATAGTCTTTTCATAAAAATGTATTATGTTTAATCAGATATGTCTACACATAACTGACTGTTAGCACTTATGTAATTGTGATATAGAATCGAAGTATTTCCCTCAGTGTTATTTCCTTTCATAAATGCAGAACGCTTCATATTTCTGACTAATTAACATGAGTAGTTAGTCTTTACTTAGCAGCCAGAAAAAAAAGTGATCTAAAAGCCGGACGGCCATTTCTCTTGTTTGAGGTCGAGTTCATCAGCGGTACGCTTGGCTTGACTTAACACAGAGAACCGAATCAGTTGAACGACCTCAAATTCTAGTTCGCTACTTGGTAAAACGAATTCTTAATTCGCAATATGCAATTTACGCAGTTCCTGATAGAATTTCACCGCAGTTTCCTTTGGAAACCAAAATGTTTCAGATGACAATATGTAATCTTTTTGATACCATAAAAGACAATCAAGAAGTTAATTCCCTGCAATAAGATGTTCATTATATCATCTTATCAGCAATACATACACTAAGTACTAGTACATAAAAGGAATTATCTGTTTTCAGTATTCCTATGGGAAGTAATCTTGACATTTCTGAGTCCTTATTTATTCAGTTAATAATTGCTTATAAATAAAAAATATTTGAGAGGTTTCAATTACGTCTTTTTGCAGCTTGTAAATTGATAAAACTGCAAATGAAATGAATAAGATTCACGGTTCTATATTATTATCATTAAAAAATCCTGGACACGAATGTCTAGTAGGCCTTACTTTATACACTGGGAAGATAATTATGATTAACAGCGAGGGGTATCTGACACTACAAAAGCAAAATTATACAGCAGCTGCAGTCTATATATTATGTATGCCTAAGTAGACACAGTCATATGTATATATATATATATGTATATATATTGGGTAATGCATGGATACTCTCATAGAAAAGTGTTCGTAGATAATCAGTCATACCCAAGGTTGTCAGAGAAGACCATTGGTTTCTTCCTAAACCCACCTGATTCTAAACTTATCTCTGAAAATGTTGTCTACAAAAAGATATATATATATATATATATATAATTTGTCTCAGTAACATACTACTGTGTTATGCTTGGTCACTTTTTCATTACTTTTGATCATGTTATTCGAAAGCATAGTTATACATAGGTTAGTCAACAAATTGTGTTCTAAAGTGACTGACAATTATTTCATTGTAGACACTACTATTGAAGTATTTAATGAACACTAACGTAGTATATAAGAATTCGTATGAGCAAATGAAAATATTTAATAAAAACATTTAGATTTTTTCAGTTCATGTAAGAAAATAAGGAGATCTACAGTATTTTTTCTGTACATGTTCCCCGTTTATGCTGTTTCCGGTCTTTGTAAGCTATATGTGCTTAACTTTTGGTATAGTTTTGTTATAAAACCACTCAACTAAAAATTGCTTATGCGTTTAAATTAGAGTGAAATAGGAAACTATCCAAGATAACAGATTTTTCAAGGTTACTAAGTATTTTCTCAGCACTGTAAACCAAGACGCGTATCCAAATGAAATGCTCATCAAAACATAGTTTAGTTTCTAAACACTCAACGAAAGCAGTCATAAACTTTTATCAGTCCTCATAACATTTCGTATGCATGCAACTAACGATGTAGAGAAAGAAGACATTTCCAACTGCTGAATGTGCTCACCTATAGCAGGTATAACAGGCTAAAGAGTCGTCAGCCGAAATAAATATTTCATCTAGCCAAAAGTTGACTGAGTGAACAATTCATTTACGCGTCATACATACAAGTCCGACTGATAAGTGACTCACTGTTGTTACTGGCTTCTTTATGAAGATCTGAGACATTTTTATACATGAATAAAATGCTACAAAGATCATAGGTCAGTCAGTCAGTAGTATATGATGCTACTCAGATGAGTTTCACGCAGCAGATGGATAGTGTCAAGCATTAATCACAATGTATTAGGTGTGATATCCATACGATTGCAAATTACTAAGTCATGTCATCTGATTCATTTACTTCAAAGGTAGATATTCTTCCTTATTAGAGATGCAATATTGGCAAAGTTGCATACTATAGTAAAGTCAGACAGTGTTCAGCGAAGTGAGTTAGTGAAAATATTCTCAACTTATCCATAGTATTATTTTTTACTGCCTTTTGTGTCGCTGAAGACAAGAGATATAACGTCAAATAACATTTCCTTAGGTAAAGAGATATAAAATGTTTGTTACCACTAGACTGTACTTCCGCTTCTACCATACTCTACAATACCTTATTCAGCACACATTTTATATGATCAGGAAAGTGTAAGGCACAAAATTGCCAACTTGTTGAGGAAATCTAAGTAAACGGCCCCATTTTTTCACTGTTACATTGTTGTCAAGATTTTTGCAAAATTTAATTTGATATTCATTTACTTATTGAACAGTATTATCGCTGTAAATGGGCTGTGTCTAACTGTTATCCCTGCAATGAGAAATTTAGATACAATAATGTACTGCTACCTCAAGAAAATTCCACATATATATGTACCAAAAGTACTGTATGAAATAAAGCTATTATTTTTATTATAAGTTAATTAAGCTGATTTACGTCATCAAACAAATTTGAAGAAAATCAGGTAACTTACTTAACCTTAGGCCACCTTTTCTTACCGTTGAGTTGACTGTGCTATCAACTAAAAACGTGTATATAACTGAGAAGACACTTGTTTTAATACTCAATGTACACGTTTTTTTCAATTACAAAAATGTCCCTTAAAGGTTAAGTGGACTGTATTTCATCAACAATAGCTTTAGATCTATTTATACACACATATTATACCTACTTTTGTGAACAAACATACATACATGTGTATATGATGGGAACAAAATACTGGACAGTCAACTTATTAAACAACCAATCAACTATCGTTAAAGAAAGTGAATTTTTATTCATAGCAAAAAGAATAATCCAGACTCATCTAAATCCCATCATATTTCCAATAATAATAATAATAATAATAGTGATAATGAATAATTTCAAAGACGTACTTAAAAAACTAAACAGAAAGAAACTGTGATACTTCAAAGGGGAGAACTGGATGACACAGCTAAAGTGTGATAATAAGTGTAAATGAAAGAAACAGTGGATACATATTCTTTTTGTTCAAAGTACCCGCTTTACTAAACAATGAAATTCCATAAAGAGAAATGTGGTTAATGTATATTTCTCTATTTAGCAATGTTTTATTCTGGTTAAGAATAAAAACAACCCCAGTCCACTACTAAGACTCATCTGTTCATTGGATGGTATATCACTAAATATTGTGGATACAGAACACAAGATTGATGTCAACGAGGCTTTTAAAGTAATTTACCGCATACCAAAAGATCTTAATTTAGCCTTAAGTGTTCGTTTACTAAATATTGCTGAGGCCGCTGGGATCCAATATTAAGAAGCCTAATTCATGTGTCTAAAAGAAGCTATTTCAGACATTGTCCTTATCAGGGCCATCTCAGATCGAATGATCCTCAATTACTTGTAGAAATTCTATTAATTTCAGTTGCTATTCCATTTACTGTTATATTTTTACTATTATTATAATTTAAGTATCTTTAATGAACTTTAATTCCATTGATCTTACTTTACAAATCGATATTATTTAAAAAGCACTAATATAGGTATTGACTACTACTCTAAAATATTCCATGTATACAAACATATATGCAGTTGTAGAGCCAGAAGAGAAAACTATCGAAAAGGATATTCTTTGCTCAATTATTTTGTGTTTTATAGATGTCTGACTGAATAATTTTGCTAAATGCTTTAACCGACAGGATCAGTTTTCTAGCGAATTAATGGGTTTAAATTCCACTTCAAAACTTCTATATTTATTTTGAAGCAACAGAATATTTTCAGTTCCCTCGTCCTGATACTCAAGTAGCTATGGATGAAATGAGTTTTTTGTCACACCCAACGTTAATTTTTTATCGTCGTAACCTCTTATGTAACTCAGGATAAACTTATCAGGATACTTACTTAACCCTGAGGATTCTTTTATAAATCTTACTTCCTGCAGTAGATTTCTTATTTCATTTATCACTTGTCTTACCCCAGTAATTAGCGTATTTCTAATCCTATTTTTGCACATATATTGTACAAGGACTTCAATTACAAATCAAGAAGCAAACTTTTAGATTCCCCGTAAATAATGGTGGCCAACCTACTATTCAAGATGAATAAAGTGACAAGAAACAGAACTATAAAATCCAACTTTCAAAGTTATTGATATGATAATTAACTAGGTGCAAACTGTCATCCAATTTGAGTGTGGGTGGGTGGGTGCAGAATGCGTAACGAATAAACTGATACTGATGGTTCAAAACTTACTGCATTAAAGCAAACTTAGTATGAATACACATTAACGTGTCAGTGTAAGGAAAAGTCTACTGTGAATTTGCCTAATCGCTGTATCTTATTCATAGATAAATGTACCACAAAAAAATAAATAAATGACGTGTAAAATTCTTCTGTAAACTAATAATATTAATTTATTTTTAAATCAAACATATTTCAAAGTATATGCATATTGAAATGTTGGTTTTTAGGGATTTGACTGGTTACAGGATTTCATCATGAGCTGACATTATTTAGAGAACCATTGAAAAACCTGGGAGTACTGGACAGCTGCTTTGTCCTAGTTTGAGACTGTTCATCAGTACGCACCCACCAGGGTTCGGGCCCAAGACCTTCTGGTGACAAGGCGAGCTCGTATACCATTAAGTCACTGAGACCTGATTCGATGGCCCATGAATTCTAACTTCTGCCAATTCACTACGTAGCGCGTCCCCTACCAATATTGGTTTCTGAAAGTGTTACTTTTCAGCATTTCTCTAGAATTCATTTATCTCTCTTTTCATTCAACGTTACAAGAAGAAGAAGGCCTCACAGGAAAAATTAAACGCTTTCGCAGATATTTTTGAAATGAATGAACACCTGAAAATCACCAAACATATAAAATCATTAAAGTGTATTCATGAAATGAAATGTTTGTTAATTTGAAATCCTATTATCAGCTTACGCATAGAAGGGAAGTGTAAATAGAGGAAAAAATAAATGACGGATGTATTCTAGATGGAAAATTACATATTACATTCCAAATTTTTTATTAGACAATTAGAATCATTGTGCTAGTTCATCTTAATAACCAGGTGTAACTGTGAATCAAATTCACCACTTGCAAATTATTCAGCAATTTGCAATGTACACAGATCAACGGATGAAATTTCACGAGAGTTTCTTATGAAAACCTAACTAGTAAACACTACTGGTTGATATGAGTGGTATACAACTACTCATCTCAGTTAAACAGTAGCATGTAGTTTTTATACACATAGGTACAGCCATAAATGTCTTAGGCCTAAGATTCTAAAGATCTTGCTTGATGTGGATGTCTTTTTAAGATTTTGCGTTCTCTGAGCCGTATATATTATTGCGAAGATGTCACTTTTCTCCTTAGTTGTACCACTGACGCTAGTTTCAAAGTAAAGGGAGCTTTGTGTACTCCCCATAACTGAAGTCATCACCATATCTAATGATGTTGATTGTGACTAGTAGTCTCCGAAACTTTTCTGACAATTTTATTCACCTATGCTGGTATTGCATACTTTGTTAATTTAATAAGTGAGCTTTTATTTATGTGATTTATTATCTGTTGATTGGTAGATTTGATTTCTATCAGCTTGTTCGGCAATTGTGAACTGATCTGAGTACTAGGCTTCTCTCATGTGATTATTGTTTCCATTGTTACGAATGTCGACATTTTCATAGTTGCTCATAGAAGTTTACATGCATTGACATAAACGATACATCTCATGCCTTCTCACTGCTAATTTATGTTCATGGATAAAAAGATAAACGCAGCATCTACACTAGATTTTATCTACTTTATCCGTTAGATCCTTTAGCTTTTTATATGACATTATTATATTATTGTTCCCTTTGGTTCCAAGTAAAACATAAGGCTTCAGCGCACATGTCCATTTCGCCCTGTTCTCTGCAGTCCTCTTCAGCTATCCCTACGAATTACCATAAGCCTTCATCTACTGCTCACATAATCCCTTTCATTTCATCATCGGACCCGTGCCTAAATTGTTTTATCTACTCGAGGGCCTGGCTCAGCCAATAACCAATAGGTTCTTGGTTAGTTGATTCCCATATCTCCTGTAAGTGTTGGTGAACACTGAATAGTTCGCTTGTTCGAATTGGTCTCCATTTGGCAGGAGAAAAAAAGGCTGTTATCGCTTAATTGTGTATTGGTTGGCAGACGATTGGAGGAATACGACCACAAGTATTGTTGTATATTATATTAACGTTTATATATAGAGTTTTAGCACTGATTAACCACTTTAAATCCGTTTCACTATCGCTTTTAGAATAAATAATCGTGTCGCCCAACTGTTTTCCCTTGTTCTGTGTCGGCACAGTGCATAGTGTTCTACGTATTGAGCTTAATTTTCTGAAGCCAGCAATGGGTCCAGGATCTCAGCGATCTGGATATTTGACAGCTCCTTAATGCTAATCTTTTCTGGTCTTCGAGATGAAGTGAAGGTGACTTTTCATAAGAGTCTGAAGTAGGCTTTTGAAAATGTCTTTTAGTGGAGCAAATGAAAAGTTTCTGATCCATATAGAATGACAGACTTAACACTGATATTCTGAATCCTAATTTTGTTCCTTATGCTGAGGGCAGAAGATTTTCAAACTTATTTGAGAGTAATTCCAGAGAGATAATGAACTGAGAGTGACTAATACTTGCCTCGCCTTTCCGAATCTGCTTTTAGCATCTCCATCCGTTACGCCTGTAGTTGAAATGACAATTCCTAGATAACTGAAAGAAAGAACCTCTCACAAGTTTTTTCCATTGACAGTGATTCGAGCCTCTTAATATTGGTGGTTGATTATCTTTATCCCCTTTGTTTTCTCTATGTTAATTTTAAATGCTGTCTTTGCTGATACTCCTGCCAGTTAGTTGGTTGTCGCTTGTAAGTTTCCAAATTTATGTGATATTAGACATAAATCGTCTTCAAAATACAGATCTTCTTGAATCTTCTTATTAGTTTAATGTTTCCCTGTCTTCTCGCTCCCAACGGTCTAACGCATAATCCAGACCACCACTATCGGGAATATCGTGGGTTATAGAGGGCAGCCTTATCTTACTCCCGCATTCACTTGAAAGACTTCTCTGAGCTTTCCATTGTGAACCAGTTGACATGTGGCATTGCCACTTAGCTGCTAAATGAGCTTGATTGAGATTTTGGCCACTCCCTGATGTTAGAGCCTCACTCTCAGCCTTTTTTGTTTTCTCGGGCTTAAGACCGGCTTGAAAACTATATACATATATATATATATATATATCAAAAGATATGGCCATATTTTTGGAGAGGTTTCCGAGAGTAGTTCAGTGGTTTCATCAATATTCTTCGAATGCGGTCATATTTTCAGAGCCTAACTTTGTGTTGAAGAGTTAGAGTTAGATGAACATTTTCTGATGAAGTCTCACGCTTACCGAATTCTTGTAAGATGGTATAAAGTATTCCTCTTTCATTATCCGAATACAAAACTCATTCAATGTGTCGTGGCTCTTCGGAATAAAAATCACATGGAACTTATATTTGATGTTACGTTGTTACTATTGTAATTGGGCGTTTGATTTATTTGGGTTGACTTCCTGTGTTCTTGGGTTTTTAATCTCCCTGGGCTTGTTCGGTTGAATAAGACATCCAAAAGTAGAAATCGCATCTAACTTCTTTTCAC